TTGCAAAACGACTAAAATAAGACTAGAAAAAGACACACTAAACTGGACAGCTAATGGTAGGTGTGTTGCACATACGCTTAACTCCCTTGACACACCCTATTTGTAGATGTACACGCATTCTGTGCATGCTGGTAGACGATGCGTTGAAAACAGCCGCTGCTCTTCATATGATTATTGTCTTTTATTCTGCCTTGCATATACAGTGCTTGGCAAATAGATTTTTGGTTGCCTCAACACAGCCTATGCTTTCATGATTTCTTGACGCCTTCAGGAACACGCTTTTAAAGCACTTGTGCATCGGAGTTCCTACAACGCTTATGGTACAGCGTTAATCGCCGATTCTAAGTCTGTGACTTAAATGCTGAAATCGACATATTTCAAGAGTTAGGTTCTGAGAAAGCGCATGATCCCTCTTCCTTTGTCATGCACATGAGGAATTTTTTCAAGGCTACACCTTGTGCTGCTCATTACACTGGACAGGTGAAGTCTACCGGTGATTCAAGGGGAATTATAACCACCAACGCCACTCTCATAATAGAGCACGGCCGTACACATCGTCCATTTTGGCATGGCCACATCAGAACACCATGTTGCTCCTGCTGTTCGGAAGTGAACGACTTGCTATGCGTTTCTTGGCTGGCTGCACCAACGCAGCTTGTGGAAAATCTCTTGTTCAAAAGAACTTGTGGCTTGGACAAAGGTCATTCATTCTATGCGTTCGAAGCCAGGCATCTTTGGAGTTTGAAACAGACCAAAATGCAAATCTAGCACAACTCTTCAGAATGCCTTTACATTCCAGGAAACGAGGAAAAACCTAAAATTACTTGAGTCCAAATCCGTCGAATCCTTGTAATTTTTGTAGCGTTCAGTGGACGGGCTGCAAGACGAATGCCACCAAAATCATCATTGGCCATTTGTAGGCGACGTCTTAGACACCAAATGAAGTCCGAAATCCATCCTCGTAACAACTCGGTTTCCTCAGATATTGATTCCGCTGGCATCAGCTGAGCGTTCATGTATAAATCCTACGAAGTACCTGCCCGTTTGTCCAGAAGTTCGAAATAAATCAATGCATGGGGTCAGAATCAAGAGTCACCGGCGCTTGAAATCATGCTGAATTCTCACTCACCTCAAGCCGGATGCCGGCACATTTCCTCGGCCAGAAGAAACGAAACTGCAAGAACGTCGGGTCGGGCGTGCAGGTGAGCGCGACACTGACGAGCGGACAAGTCGTCGACTGGTCAACAAGGAGGTTTCGCCGACGTAAGCCTGCCTGATCCGCACGAAACCAACTACATGGGTTTTTTACCTGTCGCTTGACACGCCAGGCAGCGATAGAGCAATGACACTGGCGACACAAGTGGAGGGAAATAGAGCCGGTATCTATCAGCAACTCGTGGATAAATTTTCTGCCACTCCCGTAGGAATACATGCAGCAGAGGTGTTTTTTTAAGGAATCTACCTGTTCTCAATATACGGCACTTGAAGGTGCTGATGGTAAGATCGGTTATAGCATGGACAGCGCAGCTCTTCCACCTGACTGAACAGAAACGCCCCTCGGTATCGATCTACGAACTGTACGATCGGCTGAAGACATGACGTCTATGTCACAGGCAGCGTCTCCAGCTCTTAACTTGAAAAGCAATTGAAAGGTAAACCATGAATTTCATGCATCTGCGACTGATACAGTTGATTAATAAGAGTCCATCCTCCAAGTCCTTTCAGGCAACGATCGCTATTACCAGATCTCGTCAGTTTGACCGAGTTGCGAGTTTAACGTTTCCACTGATTTCAGTGATAAAGCAATGATTGGAAAGAAGACAACTTTAATTCTATCCCTGTTATCTTCAGCATGGCACTACGCAGATTTTCTTATCCTCCTTTTTGGTATCCCAGAAGCGTCAGCGGAATTCATTTTGCAATTTATTTTACCCCCCCCCCC